TATAACACATATTGATGTGCTTCTATTATATTTACTGAGAATGAAGAAGACAAGAACATTATGATAACGATAGTTATGGTGAATTGCTTCTACAGTCTGGTTGAATCCAGCTCCGGTAACTTTACTCAGTGCAGGTTGCTCTGTGGAGACATAACAAGGAACAGGAAAACCAATTGAATCAGCAGAGAATGGATATGAATTTAGAAGGTATTGTCACTGGAGAGAATCAATCTCCTCAAATGTGAGTTTTCACCTTCAGAAATCTATCTGTCTAAAGGTTTGATCTATTTCATTCAGTCAAGTGTAATTCTTAAACATGTGAGGGGGGGACTATTGATGAAAAACCACTTCAACTATTAGTACGGAGGTTGAGCTCTCCATAAACACACCCGAATTGATAAGGGTTATGCCTTGCTATATACCATTCTTACCTTCCACCTGCTCGTATTTTTCAATTTGAGGATTCGCAAGTTGACTGCATTCAAAAAAGAGAAGAAAGAAAGTTAATTCAAAAACTAATTAAGTACAGTTCAACAAGATCTCTAAATTCCCAAAAGATTAGTATTAATGCTTCAGATTAAATGGATAAAAGTTTGTGTCCGACCATCCTTCTGGACCAGTGAAATTCTGGCAAACTGGGGAGCAAGCAGAAGGCATCACAGGACCCCGAATGAAGCCATGAGCTTCCCAACAATAAGATCTCACCAATCCTCCACAGCAAGGCGCGAGAAAGATATTCTCAAGGTGTAAATCTTCGCAAGGAGAGGCATCACTGCATGCAAATTTTATAGCATTATGTGAAGCTGATGTTCCTCTGATATTGATGAGGATATGTGCCTCACTTTCACAGCAGAACTCTGCATGATTCTCTCATGAAAGACAGTTGATGTTAACACATCTAGAACTAGAACCATCTTCCTCAGAGATTAGAGGAATAAAATTTCCTATGTACCTGATTCTGACATGTCATGGAGGAATCACAGTAATATTGATCTATTGTTATTGGATTTGATACTTGATCCATCAAAATTTTCTGAATGTGATATCGGAGGCAAAACCACCACCACCCTATCAATACACACTGAAACTGAGTCTTTCAAACATGAAGCAAAAACTTCAATACCACATTTTGTGTCATTATTGATGAATCAATGCTAAACGTTCAAAGAACTTTGTCTCAATACAAAAAGAAAAGAGAAAAAGAGGGCTGAGAACACTACGATCTTCTAAAGATTACCTGCCATGTCTTGATTCTTACCCCATTACCAGTTCTGTAAAGAAAAGCTCCATCCACTGTTACATCTTGCACCTTCTCCCACGTGTTGAATTTGCCCAAGCTACCGATACTGAAGAATGGTTTTTTCAACCAAACATCAATAGATCCACATGTTTCATGATACACCTCAATGTCATCTTGCTAATGGAAATATATTTGGAAAGGGAAGAAAAGCCTAGTAAAATTCAATTTTGGAATTTCTTTATTCAGATTTTAATTATTATTATTATTTACTGTCATCGATCTAAACATTAAAATTAAAGCAAGAGTTACTCTTACCTGATGCCATGGCCTGGACCACAGGATAAGTTTGTAATCCTGATTTTTGAGGAATTGGTGACTATGGAAATACAATCATCCCCTGTGGTGATAAGCTTTTTATCAAGCAGTCCTTGAGGATAAACAACCAAAACAAGTCTCAAATTTTGAAGTAGTAAGTGACCTGTTTGGATTAAGCAATCCTTGACCTCAACACCCTTTGAAGCACCAATATGAATTCCATCAGTGTTGGGGCTAAAGGCAGGAGCTAGCACTCGGAGATTGGATGTGATGACGTTCCTTGAACTAGTGATGGCCACGTGGATTTGTTGGCTATTGAGCAATTTGAGGTCCTTCACTCTGAGATGGAAGCATCTATGGAAAGTGACGGCCTGCACAGTGTAATTGTGGCTCTATCTTCAGCTGTAATGAAAACAGAGAAAGTAATCATATCTAACATCTGTGAAACTGAAAGATCCATCTCTAACCGTTGGAGCGGCTTCACATGCCTGCAAAAAAACATTAAAGTCACTTTTAGTCCTATACTCATCCTAAAACCTTCATAATTCAGACAAAAAATCTTATGTCTAGATGTGTCTATAGCTAAAGCGTAAATCTTTTATTCTATGCAATGGTCTATAGCTCATTTAACTCCAAGTTAAAACAGACATGCGGATGTAGATGTCAGGTGATTTATGGGGGGGAATAGAAGGATATAAACCTTAGCCAGTTAATTGATGGTTTAACCCAAAAACTCAAAAGTTTATCTTCTTTTTGTTTTTTGGGGCGACAAGATTCAAATTCTTATCTTTCTAATTATATAACATTACTTTGTGAAATGGATATAAACAAATTTGTGAATAAAAGTCGCGTAAGAGGTAGAATACATGATTTGGGGTGGTCTTGCATGATCTGGACCACCAATTGTGGCCCATTCCATTGATAGTGCCACTGCCACCACCATCTACAGTGAGATGATTCAGCCATCTGAACGAAAGCCATTTCTGTCGATCAAAACCATTCCACTGCTCTGGATCTTTTGGTGCCACTATTGATCCTAAGATCTGATCATCCCTCCATCACAAACTCAAATCTCATTATTAATTGAAATATTCATTCTATTTATATCAGAATCTGCATGCAATATACTTACTCAGACACGTGCCTACGTTATCAATTAATTGTGTGTGCGCACCTACACACACACACACTTCTCTTAATAATTCTTACCAACAAAGTGACCCTGGACCGACAAGGTCCCACAATGTCAAGTGGATACACCAAAAATGTTTTCCCATATGGCAACAAAATCTCTGTTCGTCCATGCAACGAGCAAGCTATTTTCCAAGCTTCTTGAAATGCCTGCACCATTACACATATGAGGAATGACGATAATAAAACTTGAGGTTTGTTTCTTTTCTTTTTCCTGAAACCATGTTCGAGCCGAGAAATATTAATGAAGCTATAGAAGGAAGACATGGCGTACCTTGGTATCATTATGTTGGCCATCTCCTTCTGCACCATAGTCAATGACAGAAAATAACCTTTTAGATCCCTGTGTGTGGGGAAGAAGATGTGGAATCCCAAGCATGAAGATAAGAATAAAGCTTGAACATGAACAAAATTTCAGGTTGCTCATCTCTCTCTCTCTGAAGACAGACCTGAAGTATCAGACTAGGAGACATATAGAACGATTTTGAAAACAAATGCCTGCTTATTATAGTTATAAACAGTTCATTTCACATTCTGAAGGCGCATTCTTTTTCTGCAGTTTCATTAAAACAGGATAACGACAATGCTGGGTCCCGAAAAGAAACAAAACCCTACGCAATGGCATTTGCTAAAGAAAGAACAGTTTCTCTCCACTGCACTTTCCATTTATTTTACTCCCAATATATAGATATATTTTTATAGAAATATATTGTTTAAATGTGAAAAAAGGAATAGTTAAATATGAATTGTTGATTGCCAATTTGACAATTCAAATCTCTATGGTGAAAATAAAGTGGAATGAAAAGTGTAGCAGTCTAGCAAGAGAAAACCCATATAAATCTCGCTCATAAAGAGAGAACCTTTTGTCCTTCATTTGTATTTCTCTCCTCTTTCTTTGACGATCTTTTTGTCTGGTGGTGTCAAATGATTGCGCAATGATTAAAATACTTGAAAATGGAACAGAAAGATGGAGCCTTGGTCATATTAATCACTTCCTGAATCTGGCCTTCTTTCCCTCTACTTGGCTTGGCTTGGCTTTCATACGCTCTAAAAAGTCACATCTGATTTGTAATAAAAACTCCACTTATTTTATAGCGATCTACATATAGGACAATGATCCCCGTCAAATTTCTCACTCGCCCTAAACTGAAAATGTAATGACTTGTTTTTGGACCAATTGATGACATAATAAATAAGGGGGTTTCCTAGTCATTATTGTACCTCGTTTGTAATATGATAAAGAGACATGGACAGAAAATGTAAGTTAAAATTATAGAAAAAGATGATGGCCTAATATGGATTTGTATATAAAAATTAGAGGGATGTGCACATGTTGTTTGGGAATACGCAAGGATTTGGCAATTTATTTTGATATAGCAATAGTTTTGGTTTTTCGGTTGTGGATTAGGTAGCTGTGTCGTTAATATTGTTGTTAGAAAGGAGGTGACATTTTCCTATAAAATTGCCTTTTCCTTTTGTTTCATAATAAGTATCTACACCCACTCCTTTTGACTCATCATTATTCAGATGCATCTTCACTGAAGTGATCTTTGAACCAACACAAACGTTCTATGTGGTAGATATAAATGGAAGAAATGATTGATATACACAAAAAAAAAGAATGGATGCAGATAACTAAAAATAAAGAAGATTAAGATACCCTTCTGTAACAATGGCATCTTGAAATTAACACAGGCAAAATCAAGAGATATTAAAATGTGTTTGTAGTATCCATATGCTTCGGGAAGAATCTTAAGGATTCTAGAAAGGCCTAGAATATTCAAGAAGTCACCAATGTCTTCTAGAGAGGTCGGGCATATGTAGGGCAACACTAGCTAAATGAGTCTAAAAGAATTTTGTTCATGGAATGGTTCTCTGAAGAGTACAAGAAGAAGAGATGAACAAGAAAGTAGTGCACATGTCTTCAAAGCGTACACAGCACTTTCCTTTAGACTTAATTCACCCTCACCTATTCCTATCTTATAGGATGCAAGTTGGGATGTCTGACAAATTTTCTTCAAATACAATAAAGATCTTGAATATGGATTGCACTTCCAAAATTCAAGAAAGACAACAATAGTCTTTACAAAGTGATAATTAACTTTATTTCTGCTGTGCACTCAAAGACAAAAGCAATGAGTTTGATTTTAGTGTTTGTGTTGTGTTATATTGTATATCTTCCAAATGAAGTGATGGTGAATGGTTTATATAGATCATGAGATAATGCCTTGAAGAGATACCTTTTGGAATAGTACCTTATTAAATAAAAAGTCACAACTTTATGTTGGTTCATGAACCAACATAATTTAAATAAATACAATGTATTTAATATGTAGGGTCTTAATATTGTAATTTCCTACATAACCCTTCATATAAATATATTAATATATATGAAGACCACCCCCCTCATAAAAGTATATTAATTTATATGAGAACACAACCCTTTAAATAAATTTATTAATTTATATGAAGACAAAACCCCTCACATAAATTTATTAATTGAATATATTTATATAAAGACATGACTTTTTAAAAACACATTTTTTCATTTTAAAAATATTCCAATAAATTTTAGGAATATTATTTTAATATATTTTAGAGGAATCCACATATCCATATATACACACACCCACACGTGTATTTAGAGGATTGTCTTGTATCTTGGGAGAACATTCTAAAAGAATAAAATAATAGAATTAGATTGATCTTTTTAATAGATGTATGAATACCTCTACCTCTACCCCTCTTCATTGGTAAATACTCCTTACCTCATTTATTATAAAAAACACTACCAAAATCATGTGAGTCAAAATGTTATTTAAATTTAGTTTAAAATAATAAATATGTATGATATATACATATTTTTATAATTATACTGTTATTTGTAAAAGAGTAAATGAGAGATAATAAGTAGAAGTTTATTGTACAAAGATAATAAGTTGCATACATATTTAAGGAAAAAAGTTGTAAGATTGATTTAAAATTTCAAATAGAGATGATTTGTTTCTTGTATTTAGGGATATCACTATATATATATATATATATATATATATAATTGCTTTTTATAAGAAGGGTATGAGGGATAATCCAATAGTTGAGTGCTTTTGTATGTGCAAATACTAGTAACATTCCCTCCAAACTCCCAAAATCGAGAGGATGATAGGCTTAAGGCCGACAAGGTTTAAAGAAGATGAAAATTCAGAGGTGTTTAGTTTGGCTTGTAATTTTTAAGTTTTACATTGCACGAATTAAATATATGAAATACGTTTTTGTCCCAGAAAGTGCAAAAAAGTAATTTTCTTTAATTGATGATCTCAAATATTCCCTAACCATAAAATAAACTTCACCCTTCATAAGAGAGCACTGCTAATGAATATGAAACAAGGGTGATTAATTGGACTTTTTAGCTTTAAATTTATGGTCTACTATATAATTAAGGAAACCATTCCCTTCATCATATACACAACACGTACATATCGGAATCAATGACATTCTTCATTTCCTTCAAGGATTCCTTCCGCTATCGATTTAAAAGAAAAAGTATTCCTTCCAATGAAGGTCAGTTGGAATATATGAAGGATTGTGCATATGCCTCATAGTAATCCCACACCAACAGTTATTTTTAATAAATTATATTACCCCCAACCCTTAATATAACAATTAGTTAAAGATCCAATTTTGTCTCAAAGATATGTGATCTCAATTCATTTTGTTTCCAATATTTATCTATTTTGCTCCCACATAATCCTTATATTAATTTCACATGTTAAGAAGTTTCCATCAAAGGTAATTTTAGTATAACTTAGAGTATTCTCAATCTATTTTAGACTTTAAGTTAATCTCTGTCAAGCCAGGAGCATTAAGATTAAAGTTTTTCCAACAATTACATTTTTTAATATTCAAACTTATGTTTTCCTCTTTCCGAAAGTGAGACAACCTACCACATGATTAATAGAAACATTTTAGAGAAGACAATATTTATATATTATTTATCTAGTTTTTATATCCGGAATTAGAGGTAGTATTACTTTTTCTTTTGGGTAAACTACAGATTATAATATTTGACCAAAAAAAAACTACAGATTATAATAGTTTGGTTTTGAATAAAAATATTGAAATGTGGCAGGCCTATCCTTTAATATTTGGAGGAAATCAAGGATGGGCTTTAAAATGGAAGAAGAAACGCGGTGGTCCAAGTTTGCGGCTATGTCAGACAACATAGCCCACATCTTTTACTTTTTCAATCTTTGTTTTTTGTGGGCAAATATGTGACACGTAAATTTGTTGACCAACATCTATCTCTTCAACAAACAATATCCTTTACCAATCTATCATATTTATTAATACAAACTCTAATTTTTAATATAAAAGATAATTAAAAATTTAGTTTGGTTATAAAGATAAGATTATAATTTATTTTACCTCTAATATTTATTTATTTGCCTTCAATAATATTTATGGTAATTGTACATGTAAAAAATTATTAGCAAAAAGTAATTCAGATACACATGATTATTTTCAATATTATATATGATATTTAGTTTTGTTGAATCACATTTAATTATTATTGAGTAAAAATCGATATATATATGTGTGTGCGCGCGCGCGCATATTTCTAACCTTTAAGCACTTTCAAAATAATCTATATATGTATATATATTCATTGCTTATACATATTTAATATATATTACTCTTCTGGTCCTCAATATAAGAGTTAATTAACTAATTTTAATAGATTAAAAATATTAGTTAAATTAATTAATATGATATGTTTTTTTAAACACCTTAAATGTCTTTCTTAATTTAATTTCCTCCTTCCTTTTTCTACTTAATTATTGTTTGGGAGATATTAATGGGGTTAGCTTAGAAAAAAATTGATAAACTTATTAAATAAATCTTATATAGAGGACAAACACCAACTCTTTAATTAGATCCTATATTAAGCACCCAAAAAGTATTTTATACTTCTAGTAGGGCGTAAGCTATATTTGGGCAACAAAAAAAAAAAGATAAAGCAAGATTTATTTATTTTTGGCCTGAATATGAAACAAGATTAGTAAATGAATTTCAACGGAGTAGAATAATAAAATTTAACAAGTTTTTAATTTTACCCTATATAATATATACACTTTTGAAGAGAATAATCTACATAATAATAAAAGAAGGTTAAATAATATATTCACATTAAAAATTTAGTAATATGACTTATGAATAATATGAAATAAATAAGACTAAATAAAGAGGGCAAAAAAATACCAAATGAAATGAAACTTTTTTTCTCCATAGCTTATAAATATGAGTAGAGGAATATAAGCAGAAGAATAAATATTTAAATGAATATTCAACGAAGCACATGATTAATTAGTTGTGGTTTTGCGCCCAATCCAATCAGGAAAATCATTTTCTTATTCCACGTTTTACCTAATCTTCACAATTAATATTTTGGTGAATAAATATCATAACTAATTATTTTCTCTAAAATATCATAACAAATTATAGCCATAGAAATTAGAATTCAAATAATAACAACTTTTATTTGCTTGTTTTTATTTTTAAACTAATGCGTTATGCATGTGTTATTGAATTTTAATCCCAACTGCTCCCGGTACACAACATAAGTTGTTTATTAAAAAAAAAAAACTTGGTCCAAATATGAATTATTTGGAGAGTAATTAATACTTCTTTTGGTTGTCATTATAAATTTCAAATAACTAATTCACAGATAACAATAATTAGTTAAAATTAATTTTAAAAAAAGGTTATAAATATACTTTTGTCTCCAAATATGTCCTTATAATAAATGAGAAAAAAGATGAACGAGAATGTGTGAAAAAATATAATAAGAAATAAATAATTAAAGACGTACTAAAAAAAAGCATTAAATGTCAATACAAACTCATTCTCCTTTGGTCCTATTTATAAATAACTTTCAACATGTTTTATATAGAATAAGAAAAACCTTAAACTTCATTAGATCTTATTTAAAATTCAACAAATTTTTAACTTTATCCTTATTTAATAGTAATATACATTATACCTCATATAAATAAAGCTAACATGATAATAAATGAAGAGTAAAATTGTATATTTATATAAAAGTTTCTCTCAGTGTACCTATTTACCGAAAGAGGATTAATGTTTATAAAAAGGATCACATCCATTCCCAAATTTAAAAGCTTATTAATAAGACCAGGAGCACCTATTTAATTTGCCAATTTTATTCCTATAATTAGTACTTAAATGTAACTGTGTTCTTTATGGGTAAAGTTGGAAAAAAAATTTAATTTGAAATCACTAGTTGCATAAAATTCATCGCCTAGCAATTATGATTATCATCCCCAAATCAACCTCAGAAGTAATAAAGAAGCTGCAGAAAAAGACTGTCGGCAATCTCCAAATCCTCAATGGCTAGCATATAATTATGAGATAATATTCCATTTTCAGAATTTTTTTCTTTGTACAAAAATCAAAATCAAAATTCTTCAACAATCCCATAAATATTAACACATATAATCACGTACGTCCACCCCAACATCGATCAAACAAAGCCACTTCTACCTTTCTAACTAATAATCTAGAAAAAGAAAAAAGCACTAAACTAATTAACTAAACACATAAACATTCATGCTTGTGTTCTTCTTTTCTCGCACTCCGACGGAATATCCTGTCTCCGGCCACCGTGAAAATCCAGAAATATTTAATGAATTACCTTGATCTCCGCTTCGCCTGCTTTCTCTCGTTGACCCCTATCGCCGCCGGGCTTTCCGAACGCGCTGCAAAACCCACATGCGGAGAGCTTCGGAGACGGTGGTTCAATAGCCGGAGACACTTTTCCGGTGCGATAGCCGCCGTTGGAACGGCTTCTCTGGATGGTGTTGGATGATCCGACGTCTACCTTAAGCTCTTTAATCTCAGAGTTGTGATGTTGTTGTTGAGGACGATCATTATTATCTTCCTTCTGGTTCACCTTGTTCAATTCGCCTGATAAGAATCTGTCGTCCCAAACAAGCCCAGACGAACCTTGTCGTCGGAATGATACCTCAGATCTTTGAAGACCAGCCATGGCTTCTCTCTCTCTCTCTCTGGATCTTTCTATATCTGTGTGTATATATATATATCCCTGTGTGTGTATGTATGTATGACTTTTATAATTTGTATTTGTAATATAATATGATATAATAAATTAATAAAAACAATAAGGAGGAAAATGGAAAATGTCATCGCGCCAGCCCAGTCACCATCTTAAGGGATTTTAATTTTATTATATTTTTTGTTCGGTTGCGCTGGGGGCTTACCTGTCTATATCTAAATTATTTGTCTTCATGAATTTTTTTTTTATTTCTCCCTCCGGTATCCACACCCTTTGAGTGCAGACTAAATCCGGAGTCACCCCAGGTGGGACTTCTCAAGATCGAGCCCATGCACTGGCAAGTACGTGGCGCCTTGCCTTCCTCTTATCAACTAGGCGGACCAACCCTCCCGGGCTCTTCATGAATTTTTTTAATGTTATATATATGTATGCACTACACACACATATATATATATTAGTATATTACTAGTATGTATGCACTATATATATATATATATATATATATATATTAGCATATTACTAGAACGAATAATCAATACTTCTAAATATTAGAAAAATATTGGATACCCTACTCATCTAAGGGAATGTTTGGATAGAAGCCAAATCATGGTTTTAAAAATATTTTTACGTATACAAAATAAATATGTAGAGGAGTCCGTCTCGTTTTGTAGAAAAATATTTTTAAAAAACACTTTTCCATCTTGCCAAACACCCCCTAAACATTTTTTTACCAAAAAATTATTCTGAGCCAAAAAAAATAGAAAAATAAAAGCATCGTTTATCGTTTATAAAATTATATTAAAAAATTGTTTTGAAAGTTTTCTGAGCTTCACATAATTTTTATCAAGTCTATGTAGTTTTATTTTCTTTTAATTTTTAATCAGGTCCCTCCAACTTTTTTTAATCAGTCGCATGAAGCTAAAGTCACCTGGTTAAAGATTAGGTAAATGCATGAGGACTTGACTAGCCAAAAATTACAAGGGCCTTATTAAAAAAGAAAAGTTAAAAAAATATTTCTAAAATTTTAAAATCCCGAATCAGAAACAAGACAAAAATATATTTTCATTTTTTTCAAATATTATTAATTATTATTAAAATATAGTAAACAAAATTAATTGGAAATTTTAAATTTTAAAAATATTTTTTTAGGAATTTTCTCTTATTAAAATTAGATGAAACTAAAAGACCTATAGCAAAATACAAGAATGTGGTTTAAAACCATAAAGAAAAAGACGCTAAGGTTGCAGTTCCTGCTTGTGAAAGGCACGCAATTTCATGGCGTGACGCACGATGAGTGCCACGTGTGAAACCAGCAACCACTACGATAATTCCTAGTTTTTTTTTTTTCGCCAACAGATAATTACAAGTTGATATCATTGCCAAGCATCAGTCAGTTCAATTTAGGGAAGCCTGAATTGAAATTATGAAAATGTAAAAAAAAAAAAAATCAATTTGTTCTTGTATGACAGAATGTATAAACAAGATAGAGGTAATATATAAATAACAATAACATAATTTGAATTAACAACTTTTGAACAGAAATTACAAGTTCTAAATTGATAATAAAAACTCGTCATTAGGATATATTTTATGAATTGAAAATAACAGGCTGTGAACTAAAAATAACAACAATAGAACTCAAATTAACAACTTTTGAATTGGATCATTAGGATTTGATTTGACTTGTGAATTGAAAATAAAATGTTGTGAATTGGAAACAACAATAACAGAACTTGAATTAATAATAACTTGATCAGACAAGGGTATATTAATCTTGATCAAAATTACCCTCATTTTATGTCATTTTGAAGTGTTAGCTGCATTTTTTGAAAATTTCCTATATTCAAGGTTTTTTTCAGTCATTTTCTCCTTTTTTATGTAATTTTTTCAAAAAAATTGTATACTCTGAAGAATTTTGAATTTAAAAAATTGAAGAAAAGCATTGCGCTAATAAACCCAACAATTTTTTTTCCTTAAAAAAGGAGATATTGTCGGGATAATGATAAAAAACAGGTAATCTAATCTGGCCTCTCTATCTTATCATAATTAAGACTTTAATCATACTTCTCTTTAGCCACCCTTTCTTTTATTCAACCAAGCAACGTCACAAATGTTCCCCAACATATAAATATATACTCTTCCGGTTTTTAATATAAGACTCATTTAACTAATTTGATTAGATTAATGAAATTAGGTAAGTTAGTTAATTATAAGAAATGTGACATGTTTTTCCTAAAACACTATAATCATCTTTCTTAATACCCTCTCTCCCTCTTCTATTTTACTATGGTTGAGGGAGTATCCATAGGGATAATTTAGAAAAACTTAATAAATATAATAAATGGGTATTATATTTAAGACCAAAACCAACTCAGCAATTGGGTCATATATTAAGGACCGGAGGAGTATATACACACACTACTAGTCCTATTTATAGGGCAGAGAGAAGACATTTTTGGTCATATTTATAGGGCACTAAGAAATTTTTTTTATATGAATATACGATTTTATCTCTCATTTATTATTATGTTAACTTTATTTACATAAGGTATAATGTATATTAAATAGGAATATTGTTGGAAAGTTATTAAATTTTAAATAAAAATTAATAAAGTTTAATGTTTTTCTTGATTTGTGTGAAATATGCTGAAATTACTTTATAAATAGGACCAGATGAGTAATATTGAAGAATTCATTCAAAATTCCTCTAAGAAATGAAATCATGATTCCCAATTTGCAAGAAGTTGTGGTTTTGAATTTGAACAATTTGACTTTCATCAAAATTCAATTGAGATTGTTTTAAAAAATAATATAATCAAATTAGATTTAAAGTCAATACAGGTAATAGCGCATCTAATACACATGTATAAAAAGTATAGTCAGACACTAAATATGAATATCCTTTTAATTAGGAATTCAAACATTTGATTTGTCATGTTACTAGATATCAGCTCCCATCCCTTCACTAAATTCAATTCTCATTAACTAATGGAGTGAGTAGGTAAAGAACAACGCGTAAGAGGGTTAGGTCTAACACCAAACTGTACATCTCTCTTGTGACTTTATCATCACTAATAAAACGCAAGAAAATGCATTCATAATTTCTCTATCATGCTCACCATTTATATTCATCAATCATCACCACCTTTTTCTACTCATGCTTTTATTACTATATTTGTGCTCATAGCTTTTCCAGTGTCAAAATTTTCATTCAAATCAATAATTAAGGAGTTTGAATTAACATAGTGACTGATTCAATGAGAGAGGTGGTGGTATGAATCCAAGTCATGACCGATTTAATGCTTTTGTGGTCAAATTTATGAATCCAGTCCAATTTTATTTTTTTTCTTTTCACAATCATATTCCATAATTGAACACACTGATTCAACTTTGCGTTCTTTTTTCTAGTAATTTTTTTTATTCAACTTTGCCTTCTTTTTTCTAGGAATTCTTCCCTTTTCAGTGAGAAGAGATGATGTGTTTGATTATATATATGAAAAAACAAGAATTGATCAAATGAACATTGTCAAATTGCCATAATAAAAAATAAAATAAAATAAAAACTTGACTGTGATCAATTTTTAGTATATATACTCTCTTTGTTGGACTCTGTTCCTGCTTTAAAATTGTGACGAACATTATTTGATTTAAAAGATAAACCTTGCAGGTTATTTGAGTTTAACTATATCCATATATATATATATATATATATATATATGTAGTGAAAAAAATCGACAAACGATATATAGATGCACCCTTTTACTGTAATCATGTTTGAAAGTGCATAGTAAATGTTGTTGTTAACACTACTATTTTATGATATATGCGGTTATAATTATAGTACTCTTCCGGTTCTTAATATAGAATCTAATTGTTGAGTTGGTTTTGATTCTAAATATAAGACCCATTATCATATTTATCAATTTTCTCTAAATTACCCCTATGGATACTCCCTCAACCATAATCAAGTAGAAGAAGGAGAGGGGATATTAAGAAAGATGATTATTATGTTTAAAAAAAAGTGTCACATTTCTTATAATTAACTAACTTATCTAATTTCTTTAATCTAATCAAATTAGTTAAATAGATCTTATATTAAGGATTAAAGATTAGAGGAGCATCACTCATCCAATAAACACAGCAGAATTAAAAAATTACATAAAAAATTCATCAAAAAGTACTATAAAATGAAGGGCCAACTCACTAGTACAGATTTTTTTCCCCCAAAAGCAGTTAAGTGCATGGCATGGAGAGATATGGCATTTAATTTCAAAAATGGCAACTGGCCTGCAATTAATTGCTTTCATATTTCTTGGTCAAAAAGATCCCCCGGTTAACAAAACTCAGTTTGGTCGTACCCTCGAAGAAATTAAGGCAGCCATAATAATAATAATAAAGTAAATGCTAGTTTGGTCCGCAATGTTGAGATCTTGAAAATTGGCAGCTGGGGGTGCCTTACGATGAGGGGAAAGAAAGAAGGGACAAAGTTGCAGAAATTGTCAAAGGATAATGATAGAAGCAAGTTATTATTTTTTCCAATAAAAAACTCAAGCGTCTTGCCCTCATATTTATCATCACCATATCATCAACTTTATCTTATTAATTAATTAACGTCGATGCATTAGTTCGTATGGCATTGACGATCGCACGTGGGTCCCAATCTCTTGATTGATCATATCTTCACATTCACCATATACGAAGCTGCCCATGAGTTATACATTAAAGGTTGCCAGTGCAGCCAAGCGTTGGGCAGTGATGGTGAGTAGTTTTATCACACAAGCTGGCACTTATTAGCAAAAAAAAAAAAAAAAACTTTTCTAGTTTTATTTATAAATTACTTTAATACATTTTATACAAATTTAAAAAATTTTAAACTTCATTAACTTTTATTTAAAATTTAATAATTTTTTAATTTTATTTCTATTTAATATAAATTATACCTCATGTAAACAAAGTCAATACAATAATAAATAAAAAGTAAAATTGCACATTCATTTAAAAAATTTCTTTCAGTGTTTTATAAATAGGATCGAAAAATATATTTTCTCTCTATTTTATAACTAGGACCAGATGAGTAACTTGTTTAGTCAATACACTCTCGCTCTTTGAATCTGGACTAAGCAGTGCAAATACCAGTTGGCGGATTGATTCAGCTAGTAAGAGCGAGGGAACTTTGTTAATTTTTGTGACGACACTCAATTCAATCCGAACTAAGCGATACAAGCCGAAAATACCAGACAGCGTAGTATTACCAAAAGGTTGCCATTAGAATGCTAACAATTTAGGGGTTTGTTTATTTTGATTTTTGACCCAAAAAAAAATAGGGGTTTGTTTAGAGCCATTTTTAATAAATACTTATAAAACTTTTACATAAATTGAGATAATTTTTTTCTTTTGTATTCTGTAAATCATAACTAAAAACCAGCTTTTGTAAGCCATTCCAAAAGCCACTATCCTCCCCAGTGATTAAGGATAGCCCTAGGGATTGGAGAAGAGTCGTACGAAAAATTAAAGATGTTACGTCTGTTTGGTACAAAATATTAAAAATGAGAGTTAAAAATTAAAAAAATCTATTAAAAAAATATTTTGTTATATGGATTCGATAAACATATGAAGATGAAATTGGGGAATACCATCTCCTCCTATGATATTTCTGAATCTCATATATATGAGTTTATTCAAATTCATATAATAAGTAATTACTCATATTAAATAGTTTTTTAATAATTTTTCTTAATAACAATTACAGTGCTCATCTCATTTTTAATCCTTGGTAACAAAAGGTATCTTGCTTCTTGTTTCGTCTCAAGAAAAGAATCGTTTCGGCCCCACAGATAAGAGTTTTACCTCTTGTTCTTCAATGAACGCATTGCCATTGTCAGCCCAAATGCATGATGAAAACGGGCTAACCCGCACCGTTCAAATCCAGCCCGTTTATTATGGGCTCAAACGGGTCGTGTGCCGGAACAGGCTAACCCGTACTCATTAAGCAGGAATCGGGCAGGAGCCCACCTGGGGCACACGCGTACGGGATGAGGGAATCGCGAAGCACAGAATTTTTAGCGGTTGATTTTGAATTTCCAACCAAAAGCCCCGCCACCACTGAAATACAGAGATCTCGCTTTCTTCATTCAAGTCTCCGTTTCCTTCTTCTCATTTTCTTCTTCCGAATTTTCCTTTTCAAGTTTTCAATTGCCGCCATAGACTCACTGCATCAGGGCCAAGCAGTACCAATCTGTCATCCAGGTTAGCTTTTCATTCTCAATCTCTTGAAGCCACCTCTTCTTTTCTGGCCTCAATCCTTCAACTTGACGCTGGCATATACTTGCATATCGTTCTGAACTCTCCTCAGTGTTTACTCTGCAGTTTTGATCGGTTATTTTTATGCGCACAATCTACTCGGTCAATTCTCGCTATCACTGAAGCTATTTGCAAAAGGTTGTTTCTTTCGAAATTGCAAAATGTACGGGAGAAAAGCCTGCCAACTTGTTAAAGAGCTAGCAAGTGGGGAGAAAGGCCAGTTGACGCCATTCAATGTAAGGCCTCGTCTTGGTCTTTAATGAGCAATTTCATCTTTCACCTTCCTTGAAATTGGATTCGGTAAGCATTATAGTACTTTACAGAATTCACATAGATATTAGTTAGGCGGGACAGAAATCTTTGTGGAGGCAGCTATGCTCAACTACTGCGATAAATTTCAGCAACTGCAGGGGAGACCTCCACGGACACAGGGCAAACGGGAAGAAGGGGAGATTTTTGTGACTAGAATCGTTAACTACAAGGCTCAATTTGTCAAAAGTGGGGAATATGCGTTTTTGGGCTTTAGATTTGGTTGGTAATGTTCGTGTCAAGTCTACAAGGTTTCCTACGTTATGCACATCAAGTGATTTCTAGCGCACGCTTTTGATAATGCAAAAAAAAAAGTGGATGGATGCTGTTAGCTTTTACTTAGCTTATTTGGGCTGCAAAAATTGTTAATTAGTGCCAACTCATGTGACTTGTCCACATCAAGTGCTGCTAGTCTCTAGTGGAATCAATGTTGCACGAGTTCAATCTTTCCATGTTGTTCGTAATGAAACTATTTGCTAATATCCAGCATGCCAACCCTAGCATCGTTAAAGGAGAAAGCTTATAACTGGGTTTTGGTCCTCAGTTGCCCCCTCACTTGAACTGCATCTGACTTTGGTTTTTAGGTGGTATGATAAGGTTTACTGCTGATGGACCTTAGGTGTTAATGCTACATGTGAATCTATTCAATTAAAAAAAAATCAGCTGTTATATGCATCACTTATAAACTATGTTGGGATTGGTTTAACTATTGATAAATTCTCCGTCGATTCATATGTCTCTAGACACTGTGCATTAAAATATGAGCAATTGAGTGCCATGTTACCATCCTTTGTAATGTGTTTTGTCCAGCAGTTCATTTACTAATTTTTTTTTTTACAAGGCCGGTCTGTTTGGCTTGTTAGCTCTGTTGTATAGTTTCTGTCTAGCTTTCTTATGTAATTCTACCAAATTCATAGCCTTGAAAATAATAAAAACTTGTTGGGAAATGGCATGATGCTCCGGGGTTGGAACAACTGGGCCCTGGAAATATGATTTCTTGGGAATCTAACCTTCTTTATCTGGCCTTCTTTTCCTGTTGATTTTATCCATCATGGTCATACTTTTTTTCCCCGGATAGCAATGGTCATAAACTAATAATCCAAACAGAACCACAATTCACTACTTCTTCCCATCCTATGATCGGAAACTTGTTTTCCACTCTATCTGTGTGCTGTATTATGCTAGCTTTGGCTTGATAGTTTTTTTTAAATAACCTTACAGAGCGATCTATTTGAACAAGTAGTTGCAGAATGCAGTCAACATCACCTTGAGCTTCAGTCCTTGATAAGGTAAAAATTATGTGGATTCTTTAATAGTCCTTATCCAGGAGAATTCCACTTCTCATGGAAGTATTGTTCCTTCATATGGTTATAAAAATTATTTATCTATAGTGGAACGACATTATTTTGAAATTTCTTTTAGAGGCACGGTAAACAGTGCGATTCGTTTTTTGAAATGTATGCAATGCGCAAAAAATGTGTCTAACTGTATGACCACATCGTTGTTTTATATCCCCATGCATTCTTCTGTGAACTCTGATTATGTTATTTTTTAAGGTATGTAATCTATGAGCATGAACTTCGAGATCAAACAAATTTTCCTGCTAGCATATGCATGAATCTTGAAAAATATCGTCATTGCTCTTGTCGAATATTTCCTTCCACTCATAGTTGTATCACCTTCATTCTATGCGGAACATGTAAATATGGTGTGCCCTGCTGCAACAGAAAGATGCAGGAAGAAGGGTTGGATGTCCAAACTACTAGAAATGCTGAACACCATGGAGCCCTTATCCACCATCTTTCTTTAGTTCGCAATAAACGCTGCCTAATGGCCTATGTGTGAGTGCCTCCTTTAAATATCTTTCATTCTTTTTTCCCCATCAAACATAGTTTTTTAATCTGTTCTTATATATTCTGCAACTTATCTCAATGCAGTTACAACCGAGCAGAGGCAATACAGAGTTTGTTATGGAAAATTGGACACGTACTTCCTCAAGAAATTGAGGAGAAACTTTGTCATGCGGAGGCGGAGTATTTTAAGAAGCATTCCGCGGCTTTGAAATCATATATGTCAAAAGTGCAACTTGATCTGACTGTGGTAATTTCTTTTCTCCCTTCCTCCTTCCTCCATCACGTCTTTCTATCTCTTCATTACATACAGTGACAGATACATAAGCCCGCATCACTGCTTCTAATATTCAGTCCTTGTCCAGAACGTGCTGTGGAACTAATTTTGGGTGTAGTCCAGGGACTCGATTTTTAAACCGTTATGTAGTTCCATTTACACTACCCTGGATGATTTCCTTTTTATGGTGCCCGCTTGGTTGACCACTGACCTTGTGATATTACGCTACTTCATCCCTTGTCTTTTGTCATTTAAATTTTCCTAGGAAAATGAAGAGCTGATTTTTCTGGTAAAGCATCTGCTGGGAAAAAGAAATTGAAACTTACCTTTTCTTAAAATAAATGATGCGGATGTTTGTGTGAATGTACCTCTAGTTCTATTCCCATGGACAGCTTGAATACATATTCTTTCAAAACGGTATTGCAGTAATGCACATTGTAATTGACAGTCATTCATCTTCGGTTCTTTTTGCTTCTTGATTTGTCTCATATTTTAATTTTACTGTTAGAGAACCATGAAGCTGTAAGCTGAGGGTCAGGAACAAATTGGACTAATGTGACTCCATTAATAGTTTTATTAGTCTTTAAACAGCAAATGAAAACATATTCTGGGAGGCTGCAAATAGCTGAATTGTCCTTGCTGAAATCTGCATTTGACAGGATATGGTGCCGCCCAAAGATCCTTACATCCAAGTGAGGGTCCTCGATGATATTGGTGATGGGATTGTGCTTAGCGATGACAAGACTGCCAATTTTGCCCGCCATTCAATGCATTTTCTGAAGCGAACTGACGCGGAGCAATTTATCTCACGGGTTAGTTGTCTCCTGCTTCAAATTCCTGTGGCAACACTTAAGTGAAATGCCAACTGACTTTTACTTTTTCATAACAGGGTTTAATGGAGGAGCTCACAGGCTGACATGATACGATTCTTGTTTTAATGTTGTTTTATACGTTAAAGTAATGTAGATAATAAGAAAATCAGCGAACATTGTGTGAAATTCCAAGTTACAACTGTTATATCATTTTTTCCTTTTAAAAATGTATTATTATCAATAATGCCCCGTGGCAATATCCCTTGATGTTGCTTTGAGCACATGTGCATATTTAGGAAGATTATATGTATTGACTGTTGAGCGGAGTCCATTGGCTCGAATTGTGATCCTTTCTGTCTTTTTGGGCCATTGAGGTACTTGTGTTAAAAACATGAGCTTTTCGGCAGAAAACTTCTTCAAGAATTCAAGGATGCTTAAATCGGACGGTCTTGAAGGATAAAACTTTTAGATATTTTATCTCCCAAAACATGATAAAAAATTGCAAAAAAAAAAAAACTGTCAAAATTGAAAAATTACAAATAAGAATTTGTTATAATATTAATACGAGTTTTGATAACAATTTTTATAAATTAATTTTTGGGTGCAATTTTTTAATTTTGGTAGTCTTTTTTTGTGATTTTCTTGAATATGATTGCTTGAGATTAAAAGACTCAGTCATGTACAGTTGAAGAAACACCATAGAATTATTACCAAGTAGTTTTACAAATATTGAATGATATATATTACTCGGCCTTCTCGATTTATTGCTTACAAAATCACGCAACTAGCTAGGTGTTGTGAGAGAGACATGAAAATAGTCAAGAATGCCATGTCCCTCAATCAAAAAATGCAAGTAGAAGCAAGGCTTGGGTGAATTAGTATTCCCCTTATTGAGCATCTGTGGACCTTTTTACCCTTGATGCAATCACACCCTTCAACCCAATTCCATTCCCATTCACTACTCTCATTTCTAACTCCTCTCCAAACCACCATGCCTGAACCAAGGTCTCTGTACAAACAAATAGCTTCATCATTTCCCACACACTTTGTACCATCCCAATTCCTCTTGTTTCCTCCCAACAATTTCCACCCCAATTCACCTGGTACCTTATTTTTCAAACCCCAAACTTTCCCTTCCTTCATCTCCCAAATACAAGCATCCCCACCACTTGTCCCTCCAACCAAACCCAAAACCCCATTCCTCCGAACGAGTGTGGCAAATTCTAGCATCTCTGCCATGGGCACACTTAGCTCCTCCCATGTGTTTGTGGCAATGTCAAACCCAATTACACTGTAAACTCTCGCAGAAGTGATCCAATATAAAACATTCTCAATGCGTACACTCTCATTTGGAGTCCAAACTGTAAGCCTGACGGCAAATTCCACCGGCATGGACCCCACAATCCGCCACTCGTCAAGCTGTGAGTCATACATCTCTGTCGTGCGTTCATAGGTGGCGCCACCGCCTTGCGTGGCCTCGGACATCCCCCCGGCCACATAGATTCTAAAGGAAGGGAATTGAACTCCCTGGTTCAAAACTACAACTCCCACTGCTGGGTTTGTTCTTGAAATGTTCAATTGAGGAAGATAACGAAACTGCCTTGAAAAGGGATTGCATATAGCAAGTTGGAGAGTAATAGAATGAGAGACTTTTAACAGAAGGAGGCTCCCTATAGGAGAAACTGCTCTCACAGGCACTGGCAAAAACTCTAGGGATAACTCATACCAATTGTTGAGGACTGGATTGTGAGCATAGCAACATGGCTTCTGGTTCCTAATTGGAAGACCCAAGAACCACGGTTGGTGAGTAGAATGTGGTCTTGAGGCTGATAAGTTAAAAGAGTTACAAGTCTTGGAACATAGGTTCCAATTCTTGCAGGCTGATCTAGCTCTGGCTAGAGAATCTGGGGAGAGAAAGGAGAAGATATTAGCTAAAACATCAAAGGGAAGATTGCTCCACATAGATGCTGAAACAGTGAAACGAGCTTAAAGATGAAGCCTTTGAATATATTTGGTGTGTGGCATTCACCTTGCAATTATTGTAGATAAATTATTGTATATAGGGATGCGTGACCGTCTCTGCCATCCGATGATGATGAGTTCTCTCTCACCCCCATGTGAACTTTGTCCTTTTTCTTCGGTTTCATCTGATCCCTTTCTTTGGTACTTCCTTGCTTCACTGTATACAACAAAAAAGGAATTTGATACTTCTTTCTTCCTCTTGGAGGGTCCAAAGGGTGAGAGAGAACTTATCACCTTTGCTTGTCTTTACAAATTGCATTTAATTGCACATGACGGCTCATCTTGGAGAATCGTATAACTGTTATATTCATCATTATATAATAAAAACCAACGGTTTGTAAGGGTTAAGAATACGAAGAGAGTGATGATGATTATGAGTTTTGACGGGCCAAGTTATCATGAAAGCAATATGTGGTAAATTTTATGTATATATATGTGTGTGTGTATCAGCGCTGTGCTTGGAATCTGATACTGATATATTGTCAAAGATAAAGTGATGTGGTTGATGTTCACACGCTAAAATGACTTGCTGAATTGATGTTAAAGTTGATATTTTTTTGTATCTGATGAGTTCACTTGGGCAGGTCCTGTCCTACCAAATCGTCTTTGAAAATGGAAACCTGATGAATTTGGGACGCGAGTGTCACATACCCACAAGTGATGAAAGGAACAACGTATGAGCAAAAAACATAACCATTATTATCATCGGACTTTTTCCTTTTGGAGTAAAATATTGCCACTTGCTTTTGGTTGAGATGTTAATAAGTGCATTGGTAGAATAATTAACCTGAAACAAACTATACAGTGCCTCCTGTTGATGAGCAGTAATTTTGGAATGAAACAAAGATCTACCGCAGAATGGGCGTTGAGTCATGTGCTCTTCGGATTTAAATATACTATTAGGACATCGGAGATTCGTTTTACTATGGGAGTTTTTCTTTTTTTTTTTTAAAGAGATTAAATTCATATATAGTTGTCTTTTCAAAACAAAAAAAAGTCATATATAATTACACACTTTTTCACAATACATAAAGTTTGGATTAAGTAAGTTATATTATATATAACTTATATATAATGTACCTTGCTATAATTTTTATATTTTATATTGATATTTTTATGATCATAATATGCGTGCATATTTCTAAAAAATCTGAAGGATAACAATGTTGAAATGATAAAAATTAAGTGTTGATTTGCGGAACCGGTTCTCATTTGGACTATCCAAATTTGATCTAAATGATTCATAATTTCTTTTTATTTTTTAAAATAATTATTTGAATGTGTATAAAGTCTAAAATAAAAAGATTTCTTAACTATCACTTTTTTTTAAATTAAAAATATTAAATTCGGGCTGTCCAGAATGGGTTCTGCTGATTCGCACAAGAGAAATTAATTGATATTAAAAAATTTGATCATGAAAATAAAAAAAATTAATTTGTATGCACTGAATGAGGTCGATGTGGTCCCTTGATTAGGGGACCGGGCAGGTGGTGATTCGGTGAAGCTGCGGCAAATGAAAAACCAAAACGCCTTCTCCTGGCAAGGAGTAGATTACTAGATACATATGGTGGACTCAATTTCTGGACCAAAAAACAAATTATTTTATTACAAAAATTAATTCTACAGATTATCTCATAATCAGAAAATATGAGGATAATGAAGATTATTAATAAAGCCAGGCCAGGAATTCCAGTTAGAAAAAGTAATACTATGCAATCCAGAATTGTGCCCCATTAATAAGAAATAAACATTAGTAGGTTTAGCAATTCAATAGGGGAATTTATGACTACCCTTTTAATCTATTTATAGGTAGAAAGGAAGTACTCCACCAGTTCTTAATATAAGACCCATTTAACTAATTTGATTAGATTAATGAAGTTAGGTAAGTTAGTTAATTATAAGAAATGTGACACATTTTTCCTAAAACACCATAATCATCTTTCTTAATACCTCCTCTCCCTCTTTTATTTGATTATGGTTGAGGGAGTATCTATAGGGGTAATTTAGAGAAAATTGATAAATATGAAAAATAGGTCTTATATTTAGGACCAAAACCAACTTAACAATTGGGTCCTATATTAAGGACCGGAGGAGTACTATTTTTTCTTAATATAAGTAATCCCATCAATTTATATTCGAAGCTCGTTGTAAATAGAATATAATCCAAAGATTATGTCTATCTCTCATTATTTAAATGCCTCTTCTTTCAATAAGATTATATATATATATATATATATATATATGCCTAAAAAGGCTAACTTTTTTATTTGGATAATATTATCTCCGATCTTAATTATAAGACTTCGTTTGTATCTCCAATTCTAATTATAAGACCTCATTTGTAGATCTCTAATCCTAATTATAAAACTTCATTTATAGTATATAGACAAGTTCTTATAATTAGGATAGGAGGTAATAAGTTTTAGTGATAGTTTATCAATGTCAATTTTAGTGACAATTACATGTATAGCAGCAAAACACAACCACCACTACTAGCAACGGTTAGAACCACTACAATTATTTCTTTTTTTTTATAATATTTTTTTTATAAATGATGGTTCTACATTTACCCGCCACTACCTATTTGCAGCCATTCTTTTAGAAAATTGATTGTGCAAAGATATTTAGAATTATTTAAGGACATAGATGATGTAACTTTTCTGCAACATATAACAAAAGATACTTGCACATGTACTGTTAGAAAAAGTCGCTACTAATCTAGATTCATTTCTGGCCATTAGATATCCTTAATTAGATTAATTTCACATTTACCATCAATAATTTGTACATAGCACTCCTTGTACATCCTACAACCCTACATATAGGGGCTAATCATTGAGAAGTTTATTTTCATCTCAAATATCATACCTCAACATATTTTTTTAAATACTCTTTCAATTTTAAATGTAAGACTCATCTTATAGTGTAATTTATATTACAAAATAAGTCTTACATTTAAGATGGGAAGAGTAATTTTTTTCTCTGACTACCTCTATTGATTGCACATATTAAAGGGCAATTCCCATTAACATGATAGTTTGCAATGGAAATAATTGAAATGGGTATTTTCTTACCCAAAAAATGGGTATTTTATAAAAACTAACATATTTTTTTTAAAAAATAACTAACTTAACTAATTTTTAATATTTATAAATTAATTATCTAATTTCTACGAGAATAAAGGGAATATTATGCTACTGAATAAACAAACAAAAGACATTTTAATCCAAATGATTAATATGATGAAGATTATTAAAATGTTCACATCATTAAAAAAAAGTTAACAACTTCTGGTTTGAGGTTAATCTTAGTGTCCACAAACATGAGGTTAATCTTTGTTCTCATCATCATATGTCTCCTACATCATTAATCTATCATTTTCTGTGCTGTTTGAGGCTGATTTTCTTTTGGATACGAATGAAGTAAAGACTCATTTGTGTGTGTGTGTGTGTGTATTTGGAATTAATTTTTGTTCTTATCAACATATGTCTCCTTTTTCTGGGTGGAACATCATTTGAAGATGAGTTTGGTGGGGCAATGAATTATTATTATCCTTTGACTAACAATAGTCTACCTAATGACTGCAGTATCATTTGATTTGTTTAATGTTGCACTATATCCTTCTAATTAATCAATTATTTGTCTCAAGATAAATGAAGTATACAGATAAATTTTCGATTATTATAATAATATAAATAGCTTCACAGGATAGGCAGAAAAATTAAATTTGGATTTTACCTTAAAATTTTCAAAGAAAAATACCCAGTGTTGCTCATGTAGATTCTCTGTATACTGCTGGATAATCAAAATTCCAAAGGATGCCTCTTGCATTGCTATTTTTTTTCTTGGTCAAGATCAAATCCAAACTTTCAGATGAATGAAACTGTACTGTGTTCTTTTAATTCTTGTTTATTCTGCGTCTCTTAGTGGAGAGTGGAGACTAATGCTGCACTGCATTATTCAAGTTTCCCTCACTTTCTTTGCATCTTTGGACATGTTAATATTGTCACATGTAAGAAGAATTTTGCTGAATGATTTTCTTACCCATTCTAATTTTAACAGCACCTTAAAAATATGTTAATATGTTACTTAAATCCTCCTCCTCTCTTCATTCTTTTTACAAAATAAATGTTTTTTTAATGTTTTATTATTTCTCTATTCTCCTAAAGGTATAATCCTCTTTTCATTTTTAATATAATTGATCCTGTTTTAAAAAAATAGAAGAAAAGCAATACGCTGCAATCCAACTCTTAACTTTCTCCAAGTAAAAGGCTGAATCCCTAATTTTCATGTAGGTGAAGAAAGATATATATTATACCGCCTCCAATTTTAAATATAGGAATGAAATAAAGAGTTTATTTTGATATAAAATATAAGACTCCAATTTATTTAATCTTTCAAATTTATTAATATTTGCCTCAAAGTATCTTTATATTGTAGGGGTTTGTATACAATGCACATGTATTCTATGAAAACTAACACACATTTATTATAAATAATTAACTAATTTTTTTGATATTTGCAAATTAATTATTTAATCCTTATATTAAAAATCAGAGTAGACTAATTGCAAAAATGTGTTTTTTTGCTATATTTATCTCACATTAGTTTGCATAAACTCTAGCGTTATAAGTTATTCAAATTATTAATCAATTGATCTCGTCTTCAACTTTGAAGGAAAAGAGTGTGTTTGGGAAAGCTGTGGCATTTGCAATTTCAGGTGGGGGCAAGTGGGGTGTGCCTAAAGGGAAAAGGTGGGGCCTTTCCAGCAGAAGACAAGGGAAGAATTTGGCTGTGTAGCAACTTTTCTATTGGTTCAGTGTCTCCACCTTAGCTTTCACAAGTTGGTAGGTCAAGGGCCAGGGCCTGAATGACACAATCGTTGTGAAAACGTGACACGCATGGCGCCAAGATTCTTCATTTCGTCCTTCCCACTTGCTTCTCTGTTCCATTTCTGAATAATTGGCATCGGTGAAAAGTGATAACCCTTATGATTAGGACATTATAATGCCCGTTTTACTTTGCTAAAATTACTTAACTTTTACCATTTCTATTCCGACTAAGAGGGACTGCATTATTGGGCTGTGTTTTTGCTCCTTTCTCCTGTGTGGTTCACTCTTGAAAGAGACTCGTGGGTGTTCTGTTTAAGTGGAAAAAGGCGTCTGCATCAGAGATTTACTCTTTTTTTCAGGGTCGGTTCTTGCTCATTGAAGCTCTGACTCTGGAACCCAAATGGGGTGGTTCTGGGAATTTAGCATTTGAAATACCAGGAGCCTTGTTGGAGGAGCATCCTTGTGGCATGTTGGATTGTGGTTACAATGTCCTGTAAGCAACTTCCTCTTCATTTTTAGCAAAATTTTCAGAGATTTGACTTTGGCTTGTTGGCTTTCACGTTGGAAATGTTGGATGCAATCCTGACGATGTCTTTCCAGACGCTGAACTATCCATCTCAGACATTTTGCTATGCAAACACACCAAGAAACAAGTACAAGGCAAGGTCTTATCAAGTTCAAGCTATACCTCCATCATCAGTTATTCTGAGTGCAGATGAAAGTGGGAAGTTTTCTGATAATAAGAAGGCTTATGGCTCAAATCTTACTTCCAGAAGGGGTGAATCTGTTATTCCTTTGATCAGTGAAGCAAATACCGTGGGCATAGTTGGAGGCGCTTCTGTTGATGCTACCCTAAAATTTTTGAGAAAGCTTGTGGAGTTGAGTTCTTCAGAAGACGAAGATGGAATAAGTTCCCTTCCTTTTGTAATTTGTTCTGATCCTCTGTTAAATAAGGAGCTTATGTCATATGAGAAGAGTCACTTCTTGTCTGGCAGAAGTAAAGCCGAGAGTTTGAACATGGATGCTTCTCCAATTGCGCGTAATATTAGGAATAAAAGGATTTTTCTTGAGAAATCTGGGGCTTGTTGCATAGTAATGCCTTGTCACTTGTCACATTCTTGGTATGAAGAAGTATCTCAGGAATGTTCTGTTCCTTTTCTTCACATGGCAGAATGTGTTGCTAGTGAGCTCAAGGAAGCTAAATTAAGGCCACTTGAAGCTGGTAGCCCCTTGCGGATCGGATTGCTCGCAACCAACGCTACTCTAGCAGGCGGATTTTATCAGGAGAAGCTTCAGAATCAAGTATTTAATCTCCGCATATTACATCTGTCAACATCATTTTAATAACTTGATGCACCAAATCTGAGAATCATATATATATATGTATATATATTCTTTAATGGCATGACAGGTTGACGTTGATTCCCTCTAACTTTTCCCCATGACACTAGTTTTTCTTTGTAACAGTCCAGTTGTTAGGGCTCTGTGATGCAGGGTTGCTTATCTATCTTTAAAATTCCATTGGTTCTGCTAGATTGTTTGAATTGAATTTTTTCATGATTGAATTTTAACGCATTATATTGAATCTCAAGATACTTGAAAATACATTTTAGGTTAGAATTCAACAGAAGGTGCAATAGCTGGAGGCATTTGCCTTAGAAGTCGTTTAAGCGAGGGATGTTTGAGACTGTTTATGTCAAACATGAAATGTCCATTTTCGTGTTTGATCAATTATCTTGCATATGAAATTTCAATTTTCCTACTTTTGTGCTTCGCTGGGATCTTATATTCTGACTCTATCTGGGTCATTATGCATACATAGACTCACTGTGTGTGTACATGTTTTCTTGTTACGACTCACTGTGTGTATATCTGTTTATATTATTTTTGTGCCAAGTAACCATTTGAAAATGAGCTTTTAGTAGCAATGTCTTCAGTTATCCTTAGCCCGTTTCTTGTGTCTAATATGAATCACTTGAACCTCGGATGACGAGATTCTTAGCCTCTAGTTCCTGGAGCCTCATGTGCATTAGTAGTTTAGTACTGTTTTGATTCTGATGGCAGTTGAAGAACAAATTTCAAAGTGGATAAGTTCTAATTATTTGATTGTTCCTTTTGTAATCCAGAACATTATGATCCATAAGGCCCGGCTAGCTTAGTGATAGAATCTATCTACTTTTCTTGAACACTTTAGTTTTTTCGACGAGGTTTAGTTTCATTGGTGTATTTTCCCTCAGAAATATACTCTCTGATATTATTACTTGTCTGTAGGGGTTTGAGGTTGTGCAGCCAGATAAAGCAACCATGGAACATACAGTGATACCTGCAATCGAAGCTTTGAACAGAAGGGACATGGAAGGTGCATGCAATCTATTGAGAATTGCTCTTCAAGTTCTTCTGGTCCGGGCAGTGAGCTCTATTGTCCTTGCTTCTCACGACATGTGGGATCTCTTGCCTCAAGATGATCCTGTTCTTAAGAAATGTATCGATCCCATGGATGCCCTGGCTCGGTCAACTGTCAAATGGGTAAAATCTTCTGCAGAGAAAACATAGGAAAATGGAAAATGCCCAAGTGGTTCCTGTATTTTCAGTCTGTTGCTATATTGGTGATCACCTGTCTGTCGTTAGAGTGAACTTAAACACGTATTCTTTCTGTATAGTAGTATGTAAAGTTTTCTTTAAACTTGGGGTTACTTGCAAATAAACCCCTATGCTTTCAAAATAAAAAATGAGGTGCTCAAATGCTACATCAGATTCTCCCACATTGAACATGTTGGCTTCGGGGGGCAGATGGAAACTTGCCGTACCTGAATTTTCTTTCCCAATAATGTAGCTTCGGGTCACATGTATCTCTCTTTTAATCAAAGTTGCCCTTTTCGATGTAAAGCTCACAAGCAAAGCCAAACCAAAGAGATAATTGGCTAGTTATATCTAGGCCAGTGTTGCAAGAAGGACAACCTTGTTAATAACCTCTACGTTGAATTTAGTGGTTTGATCTCATATTGTATTTTTTCAGAATTTCTAAGAAAATCCCGGGAGTTTAACTGGCAGGAGGGTATGATATAAAGGCAGCTCCAATTCTCTGTTTCTTAATTACGTTGCTATCCTTTTCATCGCTAATTCAAGAACATTGGAAAATTTTTACAGATTTTTTTTTGGCATCGGAAAATTTTTATAGATTATTAAAATAAAAAGTTTCGAAATCTTTGATGTACTTCATATTTTGTTGATGTTTTGATTTTGTAAACGTTACTTTAAAAACATGTTTTGTTTCAAAATATTTAAATCATTTATGATGTCGTGGAATCGAGTAAAATTAAGCAGTGGATATTTGCTCCACAAGAAGCAGGGAGAGCATGAGCGTCTCAGAATTCTAATTTCTTCTGCACTGCTATTATTACTTTGAAAGGTGTTGTTTTGTTTAATCTACAAGGTTATCATAGCCACATAAAAAAGTTATGAAGTTGTCGGGGGCTATACAAAAGAGTGAATCAAATTTCTCAAATTTCTGTTCAGGCTAATTGAGAAGCAAATCTCCCTAGAACACAAGGCCGAGCAACATGTTATATGTTTAAATCCAATCAGCATAGATGCGACTGATCCTGTGTAGTTCATTTCTGTTGAATTTGTAATTTCCTGAAAATGATTCTTTCAAATTTTGAAGCAAACTACTGGTTGATACTACACCACTCGACACTTTTGTAGTAGCAGTAGCAGAAGTTCGCACTACCCTTCCTTCAGCAGTTGAGTAGCCATCAGTCTTCCCTAATTCTGCATTGAGTAGAGGAATTTGGGATTATTTAAGAAGATCATCTCTATTCGTCAATTAATTAGGATCCTCAACAGATCATTAAGGGGGATAGTGATACATGTCAATAACAACATCCTGCGCAAATTAGTTATAATTGAATATGTACAAATTCTAAGTAGAATCAATACAATCATGACTAGATGAGTAAGCATATAAGAGATAATTCTCGTTTAGAAAGTGTGCATGATATGTTATATGCTCACAATTAACTTAATTTACTTGGATCTTATGATTATGTCATTCTGATTTTCTTACAGAAAACATCAAATATCAAATACTAACACCAAGGGGGAGAAAAAAAGAGTAAAGCTTACCAGACTCAAATTTAGTTCTCAGTGATGTAGTTTCTGTTTTTCCTCCTACCAAAACTGAAAACTATTTATGTTTTCTTGGACCAAAATATATTTCACTTTTCTCAAGGTTGCTGCTGACAAAATGATAAAATGTAATATTGACAACATTTGAATCTCTCCTACTTTGTAGAATCAGAAAATAAAGGCAGAATGAAGGTCTAAAGCCAGTTCACTCAATCTTGCAGTACATGGTCTGTAGAAATCTCTCGCATGTCCTCCATTCGGGAAGGTTAAATCATGCACCTTACATTTTCCCATGTATGGATTTTATAATTCCATGGCATGTTTGCTGAATGAAATGTAATCAGAGTTTTACCAAATGATGCAAATACCCTATGATCTTGACCAGTTAACAATTTTAAAATGACAGTATTCTCGTTGTGGTCCCATAAATTTTGTCCACCTTTGACGTCCCAACTACTCATGTAGAAAATTAATAGCGCACATGCTGATATTGGAGTTATAATTTCCTTGTCTTTAGCAACCAATTACTGACAGAGAATCAAGGGTCATCGTTCTCCATGCATATTTCAAGGACCAAACCAAGGCATATCTGGAAAACTAAACAGAAATGAAATGATAAACATCAAAATTTTACCGGCTTGCCCATGAGCAAAGCGACACATATGTCCATACGGGCAATGTCCTTTCATGTCCCACTTGATACACAGCTTCGTTTTCAGCGGCTCTCTCCTAGGATTCAATTCAGCATCAGAACTCTCATCAAACCCGCTCTGGGATTCTACTTGATCATATTTTCTTTTACCGTGTCCGGTAGGAATTACTTCTACTGTTGCATTGCCTCTAGAATTCACACTGCCAGGTCTTGTATGAAGGAAACGGCAGGTGTTTCCATAATAGCATTGTTGCCCTTGATAGAACATTCTGCATAGTTTGGACTCCTGTAATCTTCTATCGTCATTACCCAATTCTTGCCTTCGAAGCTCTCCAACGCTATGAGCAAAACTACAATCGGACCCAAGTGTACAAATTCCCTGTCTAAACCTTCTGCAGAGTTGAGTCTTGAAATAGCGGGTCCTCGCATCGTTCAGTACCTGTGCCCTCGAATTCGAAAGTGTCGATGGATTTGCGTGCCTCTTGAACGATGGGTGCTCGGATTCAAAGTCAAATGAAGCAGGGTACTTCTCATCACCATCAAATTGACACGCGGAAGAAGAAGCGTTACTCATGGATGGTCGTGAAGCTGTTGCTGATAGGGATCAACCTATATGGCGGAGTAGAAATGGAAGAAGCTCATGTCACCCAGAAAAAACCATTTGATGAAGACGATGCATTGATTGCGGGGAACGAAAAGAAACTGAAACGGTTTGGCGAATGCGAAGATGGGAAATTATTAGAAGAGAAACCTAGAGAAGAAGATGGAAGATCATCGTAATAGGAACAAAGTAAATGAGGAAGACGAAGGATTCTTCTATACGTTGTGAAGAAGGTGACATGGTGGAACGCATGATTCGAGAAAAACAGAATCGCCAAATCCCGTTAAAAATTGGAGGGCTCATTTCTCCTGAAAAGACGATAATAGCCTTCAAAGGTTAGCCTCTCCGCGTTCTTTCTCGCTCCCAACTGCCAAGATCTTTTGTGTCCAAAAGGCAAAAAGAAAAAGGGGTTGTTTTCCATTTAGATTTACATATAAATCAGGAAAATTTTAATCTTATTAGTAGATTCATTGGAAGACTACAACAAAATTCTTTCGTGTAAAATTTTCTAAAATTTTAATTTTTTTGTGAAAAAAAAATTTGCAAAATTTTATCATATCCAGCTGACCAGCATAAAGCTTAGGTGGTAAAAGCCGTACTTTTAATTAATTATATTTAAATTTTGAGCATGCAATTCCATTAGGATAGAGTTCTGCAGTTTTTATAACTCTTCTTAACGCCAAAAGGATCACTCGAATGATTTGGTTGTAGTTCAATAGGTTTTTGGACAACTTCTTCAACGTTTACAATTACATTTGGCTTATCAAATTAATACAAAAGCCAATTAATTAATTTGAGAAGATTAAAATAACTAAATAAATTACTTAATTATAACATATGTTACGTGATTTTTCTATAAAATACTTATATAGTTAGGTTAGATGTATCATTAGATTGTACTAGATCAATTTATAAGTCAGGAAAATTAATTTAAAGAAAAATAATAAATATAAATACTTTAAAGTAATTTGTTTAACTTTTTAAATTTTTTTAAAATTAGTCAATTGGGTCTTATATTGACAATCAGGGGTAGTATTAATTATTTACATAAGTATAAAAATACTTAAAGATATGAGAGAAATTAGCGCTGTACCTTTATTAAAAATAGCAACAATTGGAAATAAATATTGTTATAAAATAAAACAGCATAATAAATACTCCTTTTATCCTATTTATAAATCACTTCCAACATATTTTACATATATCAAGAAAATCTTAAATTTCATTAATTCTCGTTTAAAATTCAACAACTTTTCAACTTTAACCCTCTTTAATATATATTATATCTCATGTAAATATAATTAACACAATAATAAATGAAAGGTAAAATTGTACATTCACACAAAAAATTTCTCTCAATACCTTATAAATAGGATCAAATTTTTTTTTTCTCTTTATCCTATAAATAAAATTAGAAGAGTATCTCATAAAAGCTTATCATTCTTGGGAATTGATGGTGAATTTTAGAGTTTTAAGCAATGATTAAAGAATCCGCAAAGACTAAGAGGGTGTTTGGGTAAGAACAGAACCATAGTTTTAGAAGTGTTTTTACGGTATACAAAGTAAATATGTGAAGAAGTTTGTCTCAATTTACAGAAAATATTTTTGAAAAGTGATTATGGGGTGTTCTAAACACCCCCTCAATGATCGGATCGGTGGGACTATCAACCAAGCATTTGAATTACTCGATTTAGATAAAAACATAAAAACCTGTTTTTATAATTGAGTGTCTGGTGAGACTAAAATTGACCACCATTGAGTCGAAACTCAAAATTGGGTCGAAATTGAAATGATTTTCAGAAAACCGATAAAACAATAAAAAAAAATTGACTCTTTCAAGAAACCCAACATTTTTTCATACAGCTTATAGCCCATTTGGTTGGATTCCATGTGAGGAGATTACATGTAATCATAATGTAATTGATTGATACAATTGTTTGGTTGGGTTTGTGTAATGTAAATAAAATTACATTTTGTAATCCTGATTACCTTAAATAATATAAAAGGGATTACACTCATAAAACTAATGAATGGAGATGCAGACCTCTTGTAATCAAATTAAATTAAAAAAAATTATTACCGTTATAATTTTTAAATGGATCAAAAAATCCTTAATGAAATACCCTTAAACTTAACCACTACTGGCCCACTCTCTTTACTGTTGCTGTTATCGCCTATAAATAGAGGCACCGTCGTTATTGTCATCCATGAATCGAAGGTCTACTATCAACTTGTCTCTTTGATTTTTTTTCTCTTTGAAACAATTTCGTAATTCTTTCACCGAAATTAGCTTAATTTTGCTTTTCTCACCCATCGAAAACTGTCTTTGTCTTATGTTTTTCGAACTCATCTTAATTAGTGCGACTATCAATCTCCAGCAATGTTGATACTATATATCTGCCATGATTCTCGATTAGTCACTATGATTTTTTGCAGCAATTTCTAAACTTCTTTGCCCCACCCTTTCTTCTAGTAATGGATCTCGATATAATTAACAATTTATTTTTATGTTTCTGAGATGGATTAGATGACACAATTAACAGCTCTTTTTTTTCTGAAAAAATTCAATAATAATTTTTTTGAATGCTTTTATGTGCTACTTTATGAGACATACAGCTTACATTGATTGATTTATTTGTGATTAAGTTGCTTTTTATTTTTGTGATTTTTTATATTACTTCCTTACTGTGGGTATGCAATGGGTGCTATAATCTTGTTTGGTACTTGTATTTATTTTTTTAGTGACCTTTTATAAGTTGAAATCTTATATAAAGTTTATTACTTCTTTTTCACTTTTTTTTAATAATCATATCACTTATATATATATATATATATGTAAATAAGGGTAATTTTGTCTTTTAATACATTATTATTACCTATTCTCATATTTTTAGTAATCTAACCAAACATTTTTATGTCTATATATTATCTTTTCTTGACAGTGTACCAAACAAACTCATGTAATTATTATTACATTACATTCCATTATATTGCTTTACATTCCATTATAGTCACATGGCGTCATATCATTGAAAATTTTCATATATTGTGGTGTAATTATATTAAAAATTGGACTTATTATGAATTTATTTCTTATATATATTTTGCATATAATTATTCTTTATTAAATTTTTATTTAATTATTATGTCATGATTTTATCGAGGATCTAGTTGACTGGATTATAAGAACAGTGAACTGTTAAGTTTTCTGGGTTGACATGCCATACGGCATAAATATATAATGTATAAATCCCTACATAAAAGATCTTTCCTTTCATTCAAATTTTATGTTAATCTATTGCTCATTACTTCAAGTTGAGGAAGTATATATAACTCAGATACATTTGGGAAAAAAAATGCTGTAGTAGTGGTAGAAAGTGGAAACACCAATTTTGTTTTGAAAGTTTGGACTCGAATATTAATTTTATCTTAAAAATGAAATCCATCCTACGTGTTCATTCTAACACTAATATTAGAGTCATTAAAATGGGTTAGATTGATTAAAAGACCAACTCATTACTAATGGTGGATTTAATGATTGTTAAGTTCAATCAATTCTATTTCAATGGGATGAAAATTGGGAAAAAAAACAAGTTTTTTTTACCAGCAAAAAAATGAATTAGGTGGATCGGAAATTCGGAATACTTAACAAAAAAATTTAAAACAACTACATTAACATTTATTTCTAATAATATGTTATCAGAAAAATTATTCAAAATTCTTATATCTTGTGATGGGACAATAGTTCTGTCATTTGGGAGTTTTGAGATTTTTTTTTTCAATTTTTATCGTGGATTATTATGGTATTTTAATTTGGAAGATATTTTTTGACATTTGAAAATATTTTTAAAATGCTTTAAATATTATCACAATTTATGGATATACAAGACATCTCAAGATTCAGAGAAGCTAATTATTATTTCATAAATCATCTTATCTTCCTCTTTCATTCATGAATCTAAATTATTAAATGCTGAACATTCATCCATATACTAAAGACATCAAGGATTTTTTTTGGGGAAAATTTACATTATATTATAATAAATGGAGGATTATAAATACTAAATAGAAGTATATCTCAAAATCGTGTACACAGTACAAGTCAAACTTAATGAGAAAGATATTCCCTAATTTTTCCTGCCTAATTTTTTTATGGATCCTTCCTAAAATTTTATCTCTTATTAGGTTGTTTGTATTTTCTTACTCTTGTAATAAAATAATAAATCATGATAGGTTAAAAACTGCCAAAAGACATTAAAATGTAGATTGTTTACAGGCTGTGTTTGGATCACGCTTGAGTACCCCCAGCCGCAAGCAACTTCCAGCCCAAATTCATGTTGGGTAACGCGTTTTCTCCAACTGGCTTCTGACCCAAAATTGCTTTCAAAATGAAAGCAACGTTTTGTTGCTTTTCTCCTCCTCACGTCCGGTGCAGCGTAGGATGACAAGTCTAAACCTCCAATTGTTGGGAAATTTTTTTATGTACATATTGTTGGGGAAATGAAACAATATGGAGGGAAAAAAACTTGGAGAGAGAGAAGCAATCTAGAAAAATTATTGCATATTTTTTTATTGTCGTTTTATTCAAGAAAAAGGAAATGTAATAGGGCCAAAAAAGAAAAAAGAAATGTAGATATTTTAGTTAAAAAAATAAAATAACATGATTAATAACCTAAAAAATAATATGATTAATGTACATGATTTAAATTATTTTTATTATTTAGTTAAAAAAAATTTGATGTGGAGTCTATATACATTTTCAACCATTCATTGAGGAGATAAAGGGAAAAAAAAAATGGGATGATGAGGGGATCAAAATCCGAACCATCAACTAAATCCCCACAAATTAAGTCTTAAAGCTGGAAACTTTATACTAGAACTAGCAATTAATTAAGAACTCACTTAAAAGTGACTTATAAACAACTTTTCAATCAAAATTTATAATATAAAAAATAAATATGTAAAAAAAAATTTTTTATCTCAGTTTACATAAAATATACTTATTCATTATTTCAAACAAGTCGTAAAAGTTGATGACTTGATGTTAAAGCTTGATGTAATTAATAAGGACAATACTATTTGAATTTTTGACAAAAAATGGTCTAACCAATTTTCAATTCTTTACATATTAAAGGCTGGAGTTGTATGTAACAGGATACCATCAATCCTTGTCATTGGTATTGTCATGAAATTAAAAATTTTGACAAATTGTAGATAAAATTAGCAAAGCATAAGTTGGAGTTTGGACAACCAAATGCAAATATTACTCAAAGAAATCGAAATAGATCTCCGGTTATGTTTGGGAGTATTTGTTTCTCAGTTTCTTCCTAGAACCATAGGCAAAGTAATAAAACGCAAAGAATTTGCTAACAGCTAACTGTAACAGAAAACAAAGGACGAAACAGCAAATTTGATCATCTCTTTCTGTATACACAATTCCCGGTTTAGTGATTCTAATAGCACAACGAAACAACCACCATAATGGCTACTGAAGCTTTATTCCTGGGAATGACGGCAAGATTGCAATAAGTGCATCACCATATCCAACAGGCTCTGTAAAGGCAACAAGACAAGCAAATTATGTACACATGACATCAACACAAGACTGGTTTAATATGTTCCAAGGAATGTTTGAGTTGACTAACCTCCATCCTTTTTAAGAATCTTCACGATCTCCCCTGATACATCAGACTGGAAACAGATATGAACAAATTATCAGACATTGCAATGGTTATTATACTAGTCATGATCACCACAAGAATATGAAAATATTTCAAGTCTGAGAGCCGAACCTCGATTGGCAGTTCACCACCAAGCTGTTCTACGTAACATATGGGTTGGCCCTCCTTTACTATTTGCTTCTGCCAATTCCCAGGTATGAGTGTTAATCATAATCTAGCATGTCAATTCAGTTAACTTCAATACGATATATGGAGTGTACGTGTGTGAGCGCGTGGGAAAAATTAAAAGCTGATAACAAGATTTTCAGTGATCAGTGCAATTTTCTGTAGATAGAAAACTTTTGCTATAAAATCTAATTTCTGATTCAAAAGAGAGGAAAATCAAATATTCAGGTCTAAAATCACAAAGGATAGAATCATCCACATCTACATAAGCTCCCAGAACGTAAATAGGTAATAAAATTATCCTTGACCATCTAAAACACTAAAAGGGAAAAGAGAGAGCAAGAAGAGAACGGGAAATGAATGACACTACCTCTTTACATGATGGTGGGGCACGCTTTCCCTTTATGGTTCGAGATGTCCGAAAGAACCCAACCTGTTAAATGATTTATGAGTTTATGAATTTATGTTTTAACTTGAAGGGAATATAAATATTATAAAAGTCGTTTTCTTACCCTTGGGGATGTAACTATAACCAAACCTTCGTCTGCAGCTTTATCCAGAAGTCCCTTACTCCCCGAAGAAGCTTCTGGTTTAGAGATGGCCAAAGATGACGTGGAAGCTGATCCATTCAAATCAGATGATTCTGTGACAGTGTTTGCACTAACAGAAGGGGATGTTGAAGGAGGTACAGTTGTACTTTGCTCGGCAAAATTCCGCACTACATGCAGGTGGAACCCAGCAAGCTGATTGATAACATTAGGGAATTATGAAGGTGGAGGTGAAGAAAGGAAAATTCAATAAGAACTTAGTGCTTTAAAAAATAATATCTTAATTTCCAGTGGACGGAGAGAAATGAATTACATTATATTTTGAAGATATCAAAACTCATAGTTCAACTTCATTTTGCTTACCTTCAATTCTAGTTCCTGAACTGATTTTGTGTCACACACTTCATTGAGCAGAAATTGCACCTGCCAAGATGTTGATGTAATATGTTTCAACATTTTAGAGCAAGAAAGTACACAAGCACGTTATAGGACATGTTTGTCATGAATCTTGATTGGTTCATGTTCAGCAAAAGGACATTTGAAGACAAAATAAATAATTTGTCTATATCTCACAATGTAAAAATAGACTCAAATCTCTCTTGCAAGACTATAAAAGAAAATGATTTCAGCGTGCTAAAATTTCAGAACCAAGGACTAAAAAATATTTTTCATCAAATAAATATAAATGCACAAGCCAGATCAGCTTAAATCTTAACGGGTAAGCATATTTGCTTGAAGCCACATTCATCTCTGTATCTGTGGCTTGAGCTTTGCTAGCACAGTTTGAAAGAACTCAAGGTACGGAACTGAATACATCGTGTCAGATTTCAAGCAACATGATGACCAGTTATAGACCACCTCATATGCTGGGGTAACATGTTCATGCAATAAATTTTATATAAATACCTAATGATGAAGGGTCAAGTCATATAATTTAATTACTGTAAAACCAGATCAAGCAAATAGGCGCAACTACATGCTGAAGAAGCCTATATATTGAGTTCAAACAACGTTTAAAAATCATACGTCTTATAGTTGGTACTAGGCAGTCCAAGTGACTGTCTTAAAAAACCTAGCTATATTTAGAAAAAAATCATATTATTGATCAGCACCCAAATCCCCAAATAGACGAGAGATAACACAGGGCACAGTAACATCTTTATCCGAAATGGTACTAACACATACATAGCCAGCAATATATGAAGGTTGCATAATAATAATGTCATTATAAACTGGGTTGTCTTTTATAAATAGGTGTGTAAGATTAAGAAGATAATGATTGAAAAATATGTTGCTAACCTCATTGAAACTGGGAATAAGTTCACTTATTGGGCCAGAAGACTTAACCTCTTTAGAATCATCTTCTGAACTTGTAGCAGCTGTTAAATAATCAATAAAGGCTTGTGAAAGAAGCTAGATTATTGTATTGTTTTAAAGCTAACGAACCTTAAAGTATGCAATGCTTAAATTGCTTTATATGATTTGAATATTATTCTAAAGCATACTTACACTGGATTTTTAATGATGGGCCACTGCATGCAGTTAAAAATTTAACTGATCGTTGTGATGCAATCAAATGGGTGTTTTGTAGTGACTTCCTACTGGTCCAACTTCTTATACCATACTGTTGTGATATTCCGACTCGTTTACCAGCTGTGCCTAAGTTGAGCAGTTTAATATTTGACGTCCCTAAGCTACCTACAATGCAATTCAAAAAACATAAATCTCCCAACATTGGCATGGTCAGTACCTAAATATTAGCACAACAGAATAATTTTCAAAGGAAGAATCAGGAAAGAGTAGCTTTTGGCTGATATCAAGTTTAACTAATGGAGAGAATTTAGAGGACTCAATCATCTACAGTATGCAAAGTCATGAAAGAAGTCGTTTTGTAATGTTAAACATAAAAATGAAAGAAGAAAAGGAATAAACAAAGAATTGACTTCTTATATATGCTTATTTGTAGCATCCTTGTTACAGTTTACTGAAATGAACAAAGTGAGTGCAATAGAAATGATCATGGGGCTGTGAAGTTTCATATTCAGTTCTCAGCACATTTAATCATAGTTAGCTTCAAAATATTGAAGGTGGACACTCCTTGCAACCGTTTATCATAACCCAATTGCAACCATGCTAGCTTCTGCTTCTGCTCGCTGTCCATTTTTTGGGTTTATAAAAGAAAGGCATCTACTTTTGGCTTCAACACTTCGTCAAGTAGAACACAAATTAAATCACAACAGGAATGTTTGCAGCATATACTAGAAGGACGAACTGTTCTAATGCAGCATCAATTGAAAGAAAATTGCAGAAACCTTGCATTGTTCATTTCAACTGTAACGAAAATCATACTAAACAATGTGCTTTCCTCTTCTAAGTATGCTATATACTAACCAAAGAACACTTTAGTGTCAATTCTAAGTTATCAAGCAAGACATACAAATTAAGCTTGAATACCAGAATAATATCTACTCTAACATTTTTGAAAACTCATTATGCTGTTAACAGTCTATTTAATTAAAAAACATGATGGAAAATATATGAAAATTGATGCCTCTGATATTAATGAGCAACAATAATATAACTGTGTTTTGTATTGCCTACTGTGTAATTTGACAACAATCTGATTCTTTTATAATTAAAATGTATATAGGGACGGTACCTCAGACTTTGAACTTGCTATTTGAACCTGAATTTCAAAAAATTTTCTACAGTTGAAGCCTTGACATGAAACCTAGTTTCTTTCTACTCAAGCTTCTTTAATTGTAAGGAGGCTCTGCAGTTTTGCATCACATTTTCATCCGTGGATGAAAGAGTCGAGGCATGAACACAAGAAATTTTTAGATTCACGTTCTATTAATATAAAATACGAACACAACATGTTACCACGCTTTTCTATAGACTCTTTTAGTACCGAGTTTCAGACATCCGTATATTGCACTGCGCGTTCTATCTTCATACTCAGACTGTAAAAACCAACTATTGATGCTTTATAAGGATAACCCAACTCAGTAAGCAAGCACCGCTTCTATAAAGAAGTAGGAACTTCCTACCCTTCATAAAAAGGTGTGTGCTTTCTAAAGACTTCAATATCTCTAAAAGAGGGCAACATCACCTCTGCCTCTAATTTTTCATGATATTACAGCAGCAACGTAAAGAAAGCATAAAGGTTGAGTTCAACAAAATCAGGCAGATTAGCATAAAGATTAAGTTCGACGTTCTCATAAATATCAGGATGATATATCCCACCCTCATTACTCACTGATAATGAGGGAAAAGCAAAGGAAAAACAGAAGAACGCATAAGAGATTAATTTCTGACCAGAGTTAGCAATTGTAAATCTTTTTTTTGAATAAAAGCAATTGTAAATCTTTAATCGAAATAATGGAATCACCTTCGTTGTCACCAAACAAAGAAGAAAGAAAGAGTGAAAGAAAGAAATACTCACACGAAGCCATTGGAAATCGACCGGAAGGGGAGGGAAATAGAAAACCGTAAAAAGGGTAAGCGGTTGCGGAATCTGGGAAGCAAGTGAAGAAGGTTCGAGAACGGAATTTGAAGGCTCAAAAGGCTCACAAAAGGAGTAAGGGAAGTGCCAATGCCGGTAGCACAAGAAAAAGAGAGGAGAAGAAAAAGAAGAAGGAAAACACGGCCGTTAAACCCCGCAGCCGCTCAACCAATACTACTTCCTTGAAATCTTGAATGAACTGAATGAAGGGAATGCTGGATACACTTCACTTCACAGCTGGAATCGCTGTGGATGAGTTGGTCCTAACGTCTCCAGAATCCGTTCCTCTGTTTTTGTGAAGACAGGTTAACTTGAGTTAAATATTAATAAATAATAAAAAATGTTGCCTCAATAAAATTTTTAACTATAATTTTAAATTCTAGGGGAAAAATCAGAAAACAATTTTTAGGGCCCTTAATAATTAAATGATACTATTTAGATCTCAATATATAATTTTTTAAGGTTTTGTGACGCTAATTAATAAATAAAATCTGAATATTACTAAATTCATCTTTAAAATGTTTTTACAATGCTTACATAAATAAAGATGTAACAAGAGAAAAGCCAAAGTATAAATTAGATCTTTTAATTTTATACAATGTTTTATTTTGATCTCTTGACTTAAAAAAAAAAAAACTTTAGTTCTTTAGTACAAAAAATGATTATATTAAGATCTTGAATGTTGATAAAATATTTTGAAATGTAAATATCTTAAGTTTAGTTTTTTAAAAAAAAACCATGATTGTCATAAAAAATCATGATTTAAGCTAATAATTTTAGAAGTAAAAGACCAAAAATATTTTTTTAAAATTAAAATATCAAATTGAAATCTTGTATAAAGTTAAAGAGCCAAATATTTACTCTAGTCTAGAAAAATGTTAATATATACTACCTCCGATCTTTAATATGAGACCTTATTTGATTTTTATTTTGGTTATAAATATAAGACCTCACTTTATTTTGACTCTTATATTTATCCATTTTTTTAAGGTAGTACTTCTAATAACGGTAGTTCTAGCCAACAAACTTGATTACCAAGGATATTTTAGAAAATACAACACTAATGTATTACAAATAGCTAATTTAACTTATTTTCTTAATCTACTCAAATTAGTTAATTAGCTCTTATATTTAGGACAGGAGGTAGTAGTTACCATTTAAAATTTTAAAAAGGAAAATATAAAATAAAACAAAAAAAACCTTTATAAAAAGGATTAGCATGTTTTGCTTTGATATTCTATGAATTTTAAAATACACGTTGTTTTTAAATATACATATTAAAAAAATACAATTAAGACATTAAAATATTATGTACATTGTTAAACTTTCGCCCAAATATGTTAAAATAGTTGTCATTTTCGTGTTCCTGATTAACTCCCACCTATTCGTCAAGAGGTAACGGATGAGAAGGGGAGGATTAGTTAGTTGGCTCTCGTTGTAATTTGTCTTTTTATGAATGTTGTTCAGTTTCCACTCGTAAGAGAAAATACTGGCCATTCAAGCAGGTATCAAAGCGTCCAAACTCATTCGGAAAAGGGAAAAAAGGTGTGTAAGCAACATTCTGCAAAGATGTGTATGTTTTCTGGGGCTCTCGAATCTGCTCTTCTGTCTCCTTACTTTTTCTAAATATAAACTGAATAACAATATTAAACAAACAGGGTTACAACAAGAGTCTCTTAATCTTCATCAAGTTTCACCTTTTTGGTTAGTGGTGGTTGATCACGAAGACATCAACTATCCTCTGTTCTATGAGATAGCCAAGGCTTGTTTGTAATCACAATCACAAGTACTTGTGAACATATTTCACATAAATCAAGATAATACACTTCTTACTTATTTATTTTGTATTCCGTAAATCACAATTGAAAAATTGCTTATTAAGTTCTTTTTTTTTGATGCGATACAAATTGACATATGGAAAAGAAATAAAATACTACATCTAGTCTTTAATATAGAAGCTAGTTGACTAATTTGAGTAGATTAAGAAAATAAGTTAAGTTAATTATTTGTAATAAATATGTGTTGTATTTCCTAAAATATCTTTGCTAATCAAGTTTATTGGCTAGAACTACTGTTATTATAAGAACTAATTTGAAAAAAAAAATAGATAAATATGAAAGACAAAGTGGATTAGCGTTTTATAATTAGGATCAAAATAAAAATCAAATAAATTTTTATATTAAGGATCGGATGTAATATCATTAAAAAAAATCCCTAAAAGAGTGGCTACCAATACATCCCCTCAAAATGATGCCAAGAGCTTCTACAGAGTCACAATAAACATCAATTTTTCTAAAATCCTTTTGCCAACACAAACTGAGAACGTTTACATTTAAAATACCAAGAAGTTCCGCAATCATATGGCTTTCAATAATTTTCTTTTTTTATACCAAAGTTCATGAGAAATAGATCTCAAGAGACTATTAAAGCATGTTTCATATATAAATTATCTAATAATAAACTCCTTATGACAGTAACAAAATTTGAAACCATACCCTTGTGGATAGGCATACCAGGTGGATTAATATTTGTTCGTTTTCAAATGTGAGACTATATTTAAAAATCGATATAAATTATAAGGACTAACTAATTTATATTCCATGTTAATACTTCAATATTCAACCAAAAAATTTCAAAACATGAAACGCACAAAAACGCACAAAAAAAAAAGGTTCTAAACTGGCTTTGGGCCAAAAAATGCAAGTAATAAAAGTAACAGAATTGGACTCTCTTTGGATTCCATTATCGCAACCCTAAACTTACTGACCACTTCTTAGCTAATCTTTATGTTCAGGCCCAACAAATTCAATTTATCCATTATCAATTTATCATTGAAAAAGTTCATTTCTTCAACTATTTTCTACCTTACTCATCATCAGTGAGTTCAGCAATAAGAACTGTACCCTTTGATTAAATAAGGAAAGGGGCTCCATTCCCTATTACCACATTTGGAGAGACATCCTAGATATCAGAGTGCTTAGGTAAATGCCAAGGGTTTGTTATAAGTTCACCCTGCTTAACATGGTATGACATAGGATGAGTTAGCTCAAACGTCCTGTCTTTGACTTGAGTTGAGCAGGGAGACATCCTAGATTCAGGGATATCTAGGTAAATGCCAAGGATTTGTTGTTAGTTCACGTTGTTCAACATGGTATGACATAGGATGAGTTAGATCAAGCACCATATCTTTGACTTGAGTTGAGTTTGATTTTTTGCCTAAAATTTTCGTATAAAAAAACTATTTTCTTCCTTCTGTAAACAAACTATTTTACTCCATCGCTTCCAAAATAATGGGTAAACATTACTACTCCTCCGGTCCTAAATATAAGACCCCTTTCGTAGTATAAATCTTATATTTAAGATCGGAGAAGTATTAAACAGCATTTTTATCAAGACTATTAAATAGTTTAAATTGCAAAATTTTTAATTTTATTTCAATAAAATATTCTCATATTATTTGTGAATGACTATATAAGAAAAAACTTTGGTTAAGCTGCTTATATCTATTAGGTTAAGTTTATAGGCAAATATACAAGTACACACATGCATTTTAACAACTAACAATAGTAATATAGCAAGTGTAATTGGAAAACTTGACTTAATAGATATAAGTAATTTGAACTAAGTTTTGTCCAAAAATATATACAGAAATACTAAACATAATATATTTGATATCCCTTTTAATAGTTATGTAATATATGATGATGAACTAATTGTATTCAACTATGTTGAAAACATCTAGCCAGGGACCCACAGCTGTTAGGTTATGCAACTTTGAACGCAGACAATTAAAACATGTTTCCTTTTTTTAAAATTATATTTAACTTGAATATAAACTATAAGTTTTGAGAGTACTCGAGTAGGATAATAAAGCTTGCCTGAAAGGAAGATAAAAAAAGAAACAAAAGAAATCTGCATAAAAGCAGAGGCTATTATATTATTTAATTAATATATAGAGTTCTAAAGTCATCTTTTGAATCCACAATATGCATCCCTTTTTAAAGGCATACACTTTAAGTCAGTGAATGGAATCCAATGCCAAATCTGACTTTCAAATATGTATATACATAAAGTATGTATTAGCTCAAGTAGTGACCGTAATACGATGACAATAAGCTGTTGGTTTGGTTGAAGTTGTTGACGAGAGAAGGCTAAGCTTGTGAATTCTAGCAGAACCTGACATTTCTTTCATGACAGTAGGTACTGCATAATGACATTTTAAGGATGTTCCCTTTGTGATATTATTCTGTTAATATATATACGCGTGTGTGTGTGTGCGAGCTTTGTGTACATATGTGTGCTCAGTTCTATTTTGTTTTTAGAGAAGCATGAAGGCATTATTTAAGAAGAAAAAAGAGGGGATGGATAATTATCTTCATTCGGAAAAAACCACGCCACAGTACTTAGGATTACAAAAGAAAACTCAGTTTAATATTAAAGCACCAAAAGAACATTAATTGCTGTTGGTAATTTGACAAAAAGGGACAAGAGAGATTGATACAGCTTCCATCTTTAACTACGTGGCCTCAAAACCATCCGAATACAAGCTTTCACAATTATCTTTTGACGAACAAATCAAGAAATCAGGCCACATCTCTCTCTCTCCCCCCTCTCTCTCCCCTGCTTGAATCCATGAAATCCCTGCAAGAAGTTAAATAAAATAAATATATATAGTGTTCTCTAACCAGAAACATAATATATTATTCTCTCATCATCAAAATTGATACTTATGCAGAGTTCGAATGATGATGTGTGGGACATACCCAAAAGTGGATGTAGAATCTCATTTCTAGTACGTGTCCCTCGGGGCACTGCATTTAAAACATTCCATTCTGCTAGCAAAGTTGTGCTCGTTGCACCCTGACCTGTATTATATTCCCAACAAATAAAGTACTCATCAAGTTTGTATATATCTAAACCCGAAAAAGCAGTCAACAAAAACAAAAGAACACATATATTTCTGTCCAAATTAGACAACATATCCAAAACATGACAGTGACATCAGATTCCGTCTTGTCAGTGTTTTATATACTTATGTCTGGAGTCATATTAATGTACGTATATTATATATGTCAGGCTACGTATAGTAATGTTCAAGTGACCTGTTGCATATCCAGTCGCCAGATTTCCATGAAGGTCTGGAAGAGGCCGAACCAAAAGGTCTGGAAGAGAAGTCAGAGCTGGTGAAGGCAGAAGCAAAGTCATCTTTGAAAGCACCACACT